ATCTTCATGCAACTAAGCCATTAAGCTACTCATCATTATTACCATTTTAGTATAAGTTATGAATAATCAAAAGAAATTAATAAATATACTAAAATTGAGCATTGTTACCAGAATGTAATTGGAATTGTACGTATAACTAATATGTATATATAATAAAATAAAAGAAATAAAGATTTTATATACAAAAATAAAGAAACTAAAATTTTATTCGTAACAATATTCAGGTGATTTGATAAATTGGGTTATCGATATACAATTATGACATAATTACCCAATTGTTAATTCGAACAGTCTGAGTAAAAATCTAACCCTAATGTCGAGACTAAATAAATTTATAATTTAGCCAGATTATTTGGCTATATGACATATCAACCAAAGTTTGCACTCGAATGTTATCTGATTGCGTGGATTTAGGAACATTTCAACCATACCTGGATTATATTCTACTGGATTGTATCCCAACCAGAGTTATTTCCTTATATTTAAGCAGAATAAATTTTCCTTTTTTTTTGTTTTTATACATTTTGTATAATGAATTAAAATTACTTTAAACACTAACATATTCTATATTTGTTTTCTTTTTATTTAAACTAGAATAAAAAAATATCAATTAGTTTCGATTGCATTACTCTTACAATCTTCAACAGCAGGTAGTTTAATGATTTGGGCAGATTTATAATATTGATCGGTAGATATATTTATGATTTAAAAAATATTTAGCATAGTTGATTCTTTTTAATAACAATTTCAAACATTATGTGTTTCACTAATGTTTTCATCCCTCGACTTTAAGCACTTGAGCAATTCTTATGATATAATACACTACTTGCATTTATTATTTATTACTTCTAAAAAGTTTTAGTTTATCTTATGTTCACTTAATCAAAATATGCAAATAATATATATCTTAGAAGTTTCAAGATTTATTAAATTTGCAATTTCATAACTTATTAATATTTGCCATCACCAATGCTTATTTAATTTCAGTTTAATAGTACATATTAATAAATTTACTTAAATATTCTATTTAAAATTTACCAAATTTTTTCTTAACTATTGAATGAATAGCGTGAAGCGCCACCTATTATACTAGTTATTATATAATGTTATTAGATGTCATTATTAGATGGTGTTATTTCATGTTGTTATCATTTTTATAACTATTTTTAGCATTATAACAACTTAAATAATAGTATATAGTATTATTGCAATGATTTGCAATGATTTACATTAGTAATATAATGATTTATAGCATTATTTCCTAGCATTATTATGTGTCATTATTATATAACATTATCGAAAGATATATAAACCTTGCCTTTTTCTCAAGGCAGAGGGATATCAATATATGCTTCACAATTAATTCTTTGAATATTTACATCGTTTCTGGGTATATTTGACCCTTTTTTTTGATTATTTTCTTGTTAAAAAACCTCTTTATTTTGTATTTTCTTAGTAATAAACTGTTATTTTTTTGTGTTTTTATAGTGTTTTTATTGCATTTTCTTGTAAATTTATTGATATTTTTGATTTATACTTAAGTAAATCTTGTTATTTTTGACTTCTCATTTAGTTATTTTATAGTATTTTTATTTTAGTTTAGGTTTTTCTTTAGTTTTTCTTGTTTAAAATACTCTTATATGTTAAGTTAAGTAATATATTTGTTTGACTTAACTGGCGATGGCACATTTTATTATTATTATATCTAATATTTAGTTAAGCTAAGCAAGCATATTATAATGGGTATCATTTCAAAAATAATGACTATTATACATAATAATATATCTGCAAATAATGAATTTTTGCAAGAATTTTCTGATTTTCTTTTTCAAACTGGTATTTTATTTGATACTACACAACAATTAGTATGATGTTTTGCCTATATATTGAATTTGGCAGTACAAAACATGTTTAAAAATGTAAAAAGTGAATTAGAAAAGATAATTGTTTTGTTTATTTATATATTTATAAAAACTCTACTTATTTATTATATGTGTATATATATATTTAATTATATACAGTTGTTCCTTCATATAGTCATCTTCTATATAATTACACTATATGTAATCATATTTATGTTTAGGCTAAACTATGATTTAATTAATAAGAAAAAGATCTCTATATAAGCACAACTCCTATATAAGCATATTTTGAAAAAAATTTACTATATTCCCAACTTTATGATTTTATAGAAAGCCAACTGTATATTAATTAAAAGCACATCTCATTTCGCTTATTCTCCAGTTTATAGGCGGATTATTAGTTAAGTACATGATATAAAATTATTAAAACTAATCCTTAGAATTTTCATATGCTAAAACTCTATCTATAACATGTATAATTATACAATAATATTACAAATTATTCTAAATGAAGATGTGGTGACTTAGTGAAGTTGGTAAGTTGTTATATCTTTAAGTAAAACAAGAGTTTGAATCCTATTAGTAACGAAATTTGAATTTACAGAATGTGTTATAGCAAACTGTATAACATATTGATCGGAGCAGCAATTATAACCTTGGTTTTACCAACTTGTATTAGGAGGTTGTGAAATATAATATGATGTATGAGTTATATAAATCCTGAATGAAGTATCAAATTAATCTAAGGAATTGAGGAATATAGAAGCCCATTTGAGAAGTCCTAAATAGAGAAGTAGCACAGATCTTTGATAGCATTACGTATAAGATTATTATCTAAAAATCAGACACCAGAAGTAAACTAAATAAGGATCAAGTGTTTAGCAAAAGCATTATATAACCAGGTCGCTAGATGATCATAAAAAAAAGAATTTATTCAGAATACTAAAGGATGCTACTAGTCTCTTCTGGACTATCTGAATTGGAAGTTTGAGGAGGATCCCGAGCAATCTATGTAGGGGTAAAAGTTTTAAAAAATTACTAAAAATAGAAAGATCTGCATAAAAATAGTCAAAAATAAGCATATGTCTTACTTAAAATAAAAAAGATCTGCAAAAAAAACAGTCAAAAATAAGCAAATTATATTCTTACCCCTACATAGATTACTCTGGGTCTTGTTTGAGGCACTGATAGTTGGTATCGAAGTATTGTTAATAGTCTATAAAGTGGATACTGAGGTTTGGATGAACTTTGCAAAAGCAAGGAATAAGTAATAATAGCAGAGGTAAAATGCCACAAGTACTTGGCTATGGTCTAGATATAAGTTACTAAAAATCTAGGTGATATACAGTATGTGTAAGACATAAACTGCTTTAGTAGGTTTATTATAAGAATAAAATAGTTTTAAGGAATCTTAGTAGCAGTTTTTCTTTGAAGAGAATATCCAATAGTGCTAAGTTAATCAAAGAGTTTAAATAGAAGATTTACAAGCAGATTTCAAATATAGCAAGTGGCAGATAACTATAAATAGTAATATATATAGTGAAATCTTTAAATAGATAATGACTAAAGTTGTACTTGTGGCTAACTATACTTTCATTAATGTAATAAAGTCAAAAGTAGCTTATATAATTGCTCTAGTATTCAATTCAAAGTTCAATAAAACATGTCAGACCCCAAAGTAGTTACTTTAATATTAAAAAAAATATAAAAAAAAACAAATTATTCTAAATGCTATTTTCATATTAAATCAGATTTATAACTATATGCACTTTTTGAAATGGATTAGAAAAAAATTAAGCTTCTTGTAATTTTATTACTGTTTTAAAAATTAGATTACTTATATTTTTAATTTAATATTTAACAATAGTTGAAATGGTGAAGCAGAAATATCTAATACTATTAATAGCTATTTTTTTTATTATATATTAATTAAAATACTTAAAAAGATAATTAAGAAAGAATAAACATAATGATGGCTTGTTAAAAAATGTAAGACTACAATAAAAAACTTTTAAATTATTATAAAAAATGAATATATTGGGTCTTACAACAGTAATCTTAGATCTATGACTTAAGTTTAAGTATTTTAAAATAATTGGCTGGCTATTACATCTTATTGCTGAAATTAAAAATATGTATACTAAATAATAATTAATTATATTATATAATAATTAAATAAAAATATTTATACTACCTTTGAAGATTAAAAATAAATAAATAAATAAAATAAAAATATTTGTACACAATTGATTTTTTAGTATAATTGAGAAATATGAAACTGAATATATGCCTCTTTAAGACATAACCTACTTGATTAGGAACCATCTGAAATGAATATATTGTCACAAATTTATAAAAGATTATACTTGAATAACAAAGTGAATTAGAATTATATTTGTTTGTACCATTGGTTAATCTGAATATTAATATTTTAGAATAGTGGAAACAAATGAATCTAGTTATTCCAATCTTGCAAAATTTGCTCAAGATTCACTTTCTATTCTGGTGATGAGTGTTCCAAGTGAGCAAATCTTCAGTATTAGCAATGATATAGTAACAGATAAGTGGAATTGATTGTCTGGTAAAACAGTATGAATAGCAATGTGCTCGAGATCCTGGTGAAGGAAATTAGATAATTGCGTCCTGATGATTCTAATAAAGGAAATTAGATAATTAAAAATATTTTTTTCTGTTTAATAAAATTTATGGGTTTCAAATATTAAAAATTTGTAAATTTGCTTAATTCTATTAAAACTTGATTTTTTTGCTTTATAGCTGTTCTATAATTTTAGAGACATCTAGTAAAAATTGACCGAATAATTTGATTCGATTAGTTTTTAATTTTAGTAATGAGTAATTATATATTATCGTGCAAACTCTTATGTTATCGTGCAAACTCTTATGATCATGGCTATTTTTTGTCTTGATATTTTTATGCACAATACGTTACACAAGCCGATATTCGACAAATGCACAAATATTCAACTTATTAACAAATGCAATTTATTAACGAACGTACAAATATTCAATTTTAAGATTTGATAAATGTAACATTATTTGCAAATTAAGCTAAGTATATAATTTATTGCAATTTTTTTTTTTTTTTTTTTACAATTTAACGTGAGCAATTACTTTTATTCATAGTGACCCGAAATTGAAAGTGCAATTATGAAAAACGTTCCCGGTAAGAATTTTTTCCAATGCTTCCTTATTCATTTCACGGTTTTGGCCCCCAATCTCTTTAGAAATTTGATTTTCAGTTTGCTTTAGGTTTTGAGTTTGGCTTTGCAGATTCGTTCGGCTTTCTTTTTGCACATTCTGATTGAGTTCACTTAGTGCAATTCGTGGAGATTCAGTTAGTGCATTTTGTGGAGATTCAGTTAGTGCATTTTGTGGAGATTCAGTTAGTGCATATTGTGAAGATTCAGTTAGTGCATTTTGTGGAGATTCAGTTAGTGCATTTTGTGGAAATTCGGGTAAGTCGTTTGCTGAAAATTCTTCAGTTGTATTAAATGATGAATAGTTGCTTGCTAATGTAAAATCGCCAAATGCTTCAATAGTTTTTTCGGCTTGCTCAGATATTTCACTATCTTGACCTTGTGGTTCGGATGGTGAAGAATTTGCAATGAATGTCAAAGCATTAAAAAACCCATTTAGTCCTTGTAGTTGCATTACAGACTTAGGTCGTTCATATGACGCTAAGCCTTGTTGGGTCTTATGGCGTGTAATAGACATAAGACAGAATCAGAGTAACCCAATCCTTTCAATACCTGGACAGCGGTCTTACGACCTGAATGATTTGAAATGATTCTATCGCCAATAGTAATATTAGTAATTTCACAAATATGGCGAAAATAACCTTTCAAAGTGCGTTCAGGCAATGCACGTGTAAAAAACCATCGCGTACTAAATTCAGCTATAATAAATAAATTATTTTATTAATGAATTTAAATTATTACATTTTAAATTAATTACATTTAAAAATATAAGAATAAAAAAAACTCTTAAACTAATTATAGTAGAATATTAAAAAAATTTTTGAACCGATAACTACTTACTATCATTTGCAGTACACGGTTTTAGATAAAAGTTTGCAACAACAGTTGCTGGACGTTTTGTAAAGTAAAGTTCATAGTCATCAATAATTTCTTTGATATTTGGCAAGCTAATTGTCTCAGCTTGTGCGTCGCAATCACTCAATCCCCGTTGATTCGTTTTAGATCTGTATAGCTTAACATCTATCCCTCCATCATACCTTTTCACAAAGTTATTGACCTTAAGATCTTGATGCTCCCCACCACGTAAAGCTAACAATATAGCATTATAAAAAAATATACGACGTAATAAACCCTCAGAAGATGTACGCTGCATCATAGGATTTGCCAAGATCTGATCGACTTCAGTAATAGTTAGACCATCAGCCCCATTACGTTCACCTAGACCCACTGAAGAAAGTGTTTTTAGCTTTCCATTAATTACAGTATGAAGGTCATAAAAAACTTTTGGGTTCAGTATGTCAACGGGCTTTTCTAAAACAGAATGCTCATTCAAATGGCGCCAAATTGCAGCCATGCAATTCCTTACTGAAGACGCATGGTACTCTTTGCCATCTTTACGCCTCATTGCACAAACGAATCTAGCTAATTGATCCTCTAAAACTGATTTTGAATTAACGTCCTCTATTTTTCCTTCATAACCAACATCTGCACGAAAATCTTCCAACCCTTTAACCCATACTTGGGTCGCTTTGCGTGTTGATTGTACGTGGGAACTTTCACGGATAGCTTTCATATCATCAAGTGAGGGCTCAGTGTATTTGAACGTCTAAAAAATTGTTATTCAATATCTTTTTTTTTTAGTTCTGACTAACCAAATAATACTTAAATAACAATAACAAAAAAAAAAGCAACCTTGGTACTGGTACGTGAAGCTGTCTTCGATTTTGGCATCTTTTTTTTTTTTTTATATCCTTATAGCTTATTAATGGTAGTAAAGTCTTGCATACGTTAGCAGCAATGGTAAATTTCCTTGTTCAACGAACGGTAATAAATTCTAACAGTAGCAAATTCTCATCATCAGTTAACTAATGACGACATTTAATGCAGGGTATTTATTTATACGAACCAACAATGTAAGAAATTGTTCAAAAGTAAAGAACGAACGAAAATCAAAGCACAAAAGTGCAAAAAGAAAACACTACGTCAGTACGTGCGAAAGAAAAAAATTTTACTTTCTAACAGCATTCTGAAAAAAAATTTTTTAATCGACCATCTAATCTATTTATACTTTGATGACGTATAAGGCTAATGATTTTTTTAAGCCATGATCATAGTTGCACGATAACATCGATATTGGATAATTTTTTCAACTGTTTATTATAACGAAACTGTTTATTATAACTTTCTTAGTTGTTACTTATCGATTTGGTCAAATAACCGGATATCCCAAAAGTTATGTGAACAGCTGTAACGGTTCCGGGTTTGTTCTATTCGGTTCCGGGTCTATTTGAGACTACAGGTAAGAACGTTGATGTTATTGACTGATTTTTCACACAGTGTGCAACGTATAAAAAATCAATTTTACAATACCGGATCATTCGGGTAGTACATGTTATGATTATAATCCAACACCATTTTTATTAGTAAAAATGGTGTTGGATTATAATCATAACATGTACTACCCGAATGATCCGGTATTGTAAAATTGATTTTTTATACGTTGCACACCGTGTGAAAAATCAGTCGTAATAACATCAACGTTCTTACCTCGACAAATTACCCGAGTAATTTAAAAATTCCGGGTAGAAATTTTCTTGACAGGTACCACTGTGGCGTAGCAATCCTAGCTGATCAAAATTTATTACGTATCACGTACGTAGCTAAGATTCTTTATCGTTTGATCGGCTTAATTGATAGATTCTCATATTCTCATCCTGATGTCAGATGTCAAACATCACATGTATTTTCTCTTTACCAGCCACCAAAACTGTAAATTGGTTTCGGAAATTTCTGAAGCGATTGGTACTAAAGGAAATATTACTGGATACTATATAGCAATTTCGCTAAAAAAATTTCGCTGTTAGATTAAGGTTAGGTTTTGCTATTAAGTTAGGTTAGAAAGAGCTTTAGTAGTACCAAAATTTCGCAAGGAAATCTTTTTGTTAGTGCGCAGAAGGTGGTTTCATAGATAAGATGTTGAGTTATGAGTGATTTTGTGGAGTTGATTTTTTGCGTTACACCTGATCTTGAAATCTGATTGGCCAGTAATTTCATGGGCTAATTCGTCTGATTGGCTGGTGTAAATCGATTGCCTGGGTAACTTATTTATACACTTTAAAGTACTTTTTGAGAACAATTACAACCATTATTTAAAAGAGCTAGAAAGTTAACCTTTTATAATTTATATTCAGAAAAGTTAGCTTTGACACAACTTTTAGACAAAAACTATATTTGAATTTTAAAATACACTAAAAAGTAGTTATTGTTGCGGCTGAAGCTGGAAACGGCTGAAGCTGGAAATTTTAAATATTTTAATATGAAATTTTCAAATTTTTT